GCGATACTACCTACACTGAGCTGAAAGGGATAGTTCAGCTTTGCAATAGCCCCAGATCAAATATCAGCAACATAATCCTAATTTTTTTTCCAGGTGGATCACCTATAGTCTATACTGTATGTATGTTTACTTCAGGTAACTTAAAAAATCCATCCCACTGCAACAAGCACCTTTTGTACTGCAATGTCTGTGAGTTCGTGTTCTCTGCTCCTTAAATAAACCTACAGGCAAGTGCAAGCACGGTACAAAACAGCCTTATGCATTTACCAGAAGAGGGAGCCTCCTTGCCTCAAAAAGCTGGGGATTTTGCTACTCCATGTCTGCAATATATCTTTTTCGGGGCGCTTTATCTGAGCTTATTAGAGACGTATCTTTGTGCATGTGGGACTGTAAAGCACAGCACAGTCAAATACACAGACAAGTGCAGAGGAGCATATTGACTGACCATTTGTCTCACTTGTGAAACAGCCTAATATCTATGTGTAGAAAAAAAAAGTCCTTTTTCCCTGGAGGTTCTGCCTGTCGACCTGTTCTAAATGTGCAAAAAAAAAATGGGCGTACTGTGCAGGAAATCGGTATAACAGCAACTGATGGAGGAATCTGCCTCTTTCACTCTCTCAGCTACAGACAAATAAATGCTTCTCCAAAACTTTACTTAGCTTTTGAGGAAACTTTTGCACAAAGCCCTCTGACTGCGAGAACCTCCCGGGAGCAGACGGAACGACCATCTAGCACAAACGGGAGAAATTCACAGCACAGCCGCTGAAGTCACAGCCGTGACTTGCAACAGAAAAAGAAAAAATCTTCCTCGTGAGGTAATTTTGAGACCTTAAGAGTACAGACTGACCAGCCAAATGCTGACTTCTTTGTGTTTCTAGATCACTGAAGTCAGCTTTACAGAAAGAAAACCTTACTGACCAAGATCTGGGCACTAGAATCAAAGGTAATGAATACACAGAATAGAATATATACAGGTGCTTATACAATACCTCAGGGATATCCATCATTCTCCTTAGTTTCTGATCTCTCCAGTTCCAATCCAGAATCATGTATTTTGTGGAACTCAAGCACAGGCCATCTAAAAAGGCAACACAAATTTTACTACCCAGATAATATGACATGTGCTTATCAAAATGATTTTTGCCTTTTACATCCTTTGCTGTCTGTTTCCAAGGAAACTAATCTTTGAACATGAAGTACTACATTTGCTGGTTGGAAAACTAATGCACTGACACTGCAAACTCCCTTAACCACATAATCCCATGCCTTTTTGGAATATAAACATAAAAGGAGAACAACTACTGTTGCCAGGCTTGTCAAGAGCTAACATCCTGCCAGAAAAATAATTCCTCGAGCTTCCTCTTGATGAAACCGCAGGAGTTGAATTTCTGCAGGTGATGAGGACCCCAGCCTGCAAACTCCTTTTAATGGGAACTGACAGTGTTTAGCAATTTACAGGACTGGGTGTGTTGCGAATGTGAGTCAGGTCAGTGGTGCTGCTGAAGAATTCCTTTATCCTCCAAATGAATGGTGGTGAAAGA